AGCCTGATTAGGACAATGACAGAAACAAAAAAGAAAATAAAACAACTGAAATGAGATTCCGGCAAAAGGCTCAATATGACAACAAGAGATAAGATCAGGAAGGATGAAATCCGAAGGGGATTGGATGTAGGGTAACTACAACAGATGAAATGGTTTGGCCATGTAACGCGGATGTCGGCAAACAGTATACCACAACAAGCCATGGTGTACAGACCTGGTAGGAAGCGAAGAAGAGGTCGACCATGGAAAATATGGAATAACAGAGTCGCTGGGAATTCTCATTTACGAAGGGCAAAAACTGGCACTTATTTTGTAAATTATATTTCACCTTGACCGAACCTCAGGGTACCAGAGGATTAAGATGAGAAAAACGGAAATACAAAAAGAAAATAACGGCTATTGAGCACCGAAACATCAACCACGGGACGTGACAAGAAGGAAAGAAGAAGGGAATAAATAATTAAAGACACAAAAATATGTTTATGTTGTTTATATAAATAAACAAGTAATATTTACCTTTTCCTTTATTTAAAGTCGTGGCTTCAGGTGGGGTGCATCAATCGCATTTTACTCACAATTAGATCAGTTTTCTATGCGTACATGACTACACATAACATTATACTTGAAGATATCTTAGTTCAGTGATTTTTTTTTTTTAATTCTTGTGTGTAAATTATACATTATTACCATCATCATCATCATCATCATCAATTTCCAATTCTGCTGTTAAGCGTTGTGGGGAGGAACAGTTTGCGATCCATTGCTTGATGGGAGGCAATGGCTATTGTCATTCCGTGTTGATGTAGAAGCTCTTTAATGTCATCAATCCATCTTCTCCTAGTGCCGCCTCTTGATTTCACTTCAGATCTTTTCACGTGTAGCGCCTGCGTTGTTCTGGCAGCATTCTTACTAAAAGACCAAACCATTTGACCTTCTGTTTCTCAATGAATTTGCTGCGTGATGTTGTTCCTACAGTCTGTCTGATAATATAATTTCTTTGTCTTGGATAAGTTAGTCGGCGGCTTTTCTCAGGCATTTCATTTCACAGGTGTTAAATTTACATAGGTTAGCCTTTGATAATGTTTAAGTCTGGCATTTTCTAACATGTAATGTGCCAGTGAAGGCTTCCTAGACGCCACATCCACTTGTCCATTTTGTGATTGTTATAGTGTGACACTGACTTGTTCTGTTTTTCATTTAGTTTGATATCTGTTTATGGTGTCTTTACATCTAGTGAATTATTTGGAGCAGTTAATCTTTTTTTTTTTTTTTTTGTAAAGATTTTGCTAAGGAAAGCTGAGTGGACTGAAAGAAAGAGTGGACTGAAAGAGTGGACTGGAAGAGTGGACTATTAGGTTGAACCTCTTGTTTAAAAAAAACAAATAATTATTAACTATCAGTTTACAGCTCTTTAATGCGATTTTAAGTTAAATCCACTTGGAAGTTGTTAAGACTTTATTTGTTTACTTTAGGGCATTTATCTTGATAACCCCCAGTGTTTGAATGACCCGAAATCAAAGTTCCCGGGGGTTTAGGATCGATATGAGGTTGGTAGTTTAGGGATTTAGGCTTACAGCAAACAGACACAGCTTGAACATGCTGAGAAGATAGGTGATCGAAATGCCGGGCAAATCTATGCTTATCGGGCAAGTTTTTTTTTTTTTTATCGCGAGGTGGTGTGGTCTAAGTGCCTGTGTTTTGTTCTATAATCTCTCCCACCTCATATGTGTATAGTGCTTTTGCATTTATATATATATATATATATATATATATACACACACACACACACACACACACACTCCCCGTGTGGGTTTCGGAGCCCCATCATGGGGGGGGGGGGGAGGAGAATTTACCCGCAGACCCCTAATAAAAATGTCGTAAAAGTTGACTTATTAGGGGTGTTTCGTTTCAAGTATCTGCCCGAGAGCTAAGGAACCAACAGTCTGCACATAAATAAGCCAGTTCTTTAAAACGAAAATGCATGCAAACGTCAAGTTCTGGAACAAGCCCAAAGTCCAGAAGTGGACGAACAGCCAGAACTTTCTGCCTTAGTGTAAAGACTGTGAACGCTATAAGAAGAAGAAAAAGATATGCATGGCTTGGGGAAAATATTTATATCAGCAATTACTACCAGTACACGTGACAGAAGGCTGGGGACACACACGAATACCATGGCTAATTGCGGGAGCGTACCTAGAGTATGGCAGACAGAGCAGATGCCCTGGGCACCACTTGAAGCGACGCCAAAAACATTTTTTTTTCAATTGACAGCGTCTCATTTGCAGGGACCTCAATGAGTTTCATTTTATTGTGGGGGTTTGGAATGAGGGGGGGGGGGCGGGTTAAAGGAATGCCACCTTTCACATAGATAAACACTCAACAATGGCATCCATTACTAGAACCCGACCCAGTATGGGACACAATTTTCGTTATTTTAGATCCACAATAAAGCTTAACAGTTGAACGGGATCTCTGGTACTTGTACCTGGTGATTCTCGTCCAAATGTGGCAGTTTGTGTCACCCTATATTTCTCTCTGGTTGTGCTGTCCTGGGCGCCAGATACCCTATTTACACCCCTGACCACCTGGCATGGACTACCGACGTGATCTCCACATCACCCATCGAGGTGAAACTGGCATGTGCAAATATGTATCTTGCACCATATACCACACGGAGCCGTCGTGGTGTAGCTGTTCGACGCTTGCCTGCAGATTCGAAGGTCATGTGTTCAAATCAGAACGGAGCCAGGCTGGGGCTCAGAACACAACATACTCAACTCAGTGGACACCTAAACAGAATACAGCCACAACACTCCCCAGAGTGCCAGCTATGTAACTACCCCTAGGAAACTGATGACCATCATCTTTTTAAGTGCCCAAAACTCAACGAGACTAGAAGAATGCTACTCTTTCCGAGACCAGACAGGGCGAAACCTTGTACGGAGGAAAGGAACAGCTTGTGAAAACATGTATATTCCACTACATGGCACAGGGCCAAAGGGCGAAAGCTCATGTGCCGCTGGATCAACAACAACAACAACAACAACCAGGTGGGCCAGCCTTAAATGCGTACCAGGTAAAAAGTCCTGGGAAATCAATGCGGCCGGTGTGTTATTGCCCACACCAGCCACCAAATAACGACGGGTTTATAAAATGTAGAACACGATTTGCCCAGTACAAGGCGTGGACAATAGTTCCTTTCCGTGCACCCGACAATCGTTTTAAAGGAGATTAAGGGTTATGGTGGGTTTATTGCTGGGAAAATGGCCGCAGTTGTTAGTTTATAACTTACAACCATGATCACTGTTAAAGGGGAATGGGTGGTAATGATAGAATAAACGCTGAGGTTTGTTAGAGAAAACTGGAGAGGGACTTTGTTAACGGCATTTGATGGTCCCTTAGGTTTACAGTAGGAAACGACAGAGTAAGGAGGAGGGGGAAGAGATGAAGAAGAAGAAGAAGCTTTTGATGAAGAAGAAGTTAACAAGAAGAAGAAGAAGAGGAGATTAGAAGAATTGCTGGAAAAGAAGATTATAACTTACAGAAGTTAAAGGGGAATGAAGAATGATAGAATAAGAAGAAGAAAACTGGAGAAGAAGAAGAATGAAGAAGAAGAAACGACAGAGAAGAAGAATGAAGAAGAAGAAGAAGAAGAAGAAGAAGAAGAAGAAGAAGAAGAAGAAGAAGAAAAGAAGAAGAATGAAGAAGAAGAAGAAAGAAGAAGAACGAGAAGAAGAAGAAGAAGAAAGAGGGAAAAGGAGTAGAGGAAGATGATGATAAAGTAGGAAAATAGTGAGGAGGGGGAGCAGAAAAGAAAAGATGCAGGGGAAGGAGAAAGAAATGAGGAGAAAGTGAAACAAAAGGTGGACTGTGTATACTTACGAGAATCAAGATGCCACGTACAAAAGCTATAGGAAATACATCTATTTCTGCAGAACAGTAAAATACTCACCAAATGACTGACTCATGTGGTCGCTGACTGAATTACAATAGTTAGTGAAGCTCATACTAAAGACAACATTGCAGAAAACCGATAATTCTTTTCAAGCGAGCAAAAGAAGAATAAGATACGTACGGAAAACTGACTGAATTTCTACCCCACCAGGACATCACACAAGCGATAAACACCCGTTGACACAAAGTGCCACCATGTGGATGAGGATCGCCGTGGAGAGGTCCCAGAAACCGCGTTCAGACAATTGGCCATATTTATGGCCTGCCTATATTGCGGCCCAAGGCAAAAGCCAGAGTGGGGCTTCAAACAACAAAAAATTACGTCCTAAAAAGGACGTAAGGAATTATTACGTACGGAAAAAAAAAGAAGAAGCATGAAGAAATCGAACGAGAAGAATGGGGAACAAATTGCAGTCTAGTTACGATGCTATGACAAACACTGGTATCCTCCCCTCTCCGCCGCTACAACTTTCTACCTGACCAAATAACGGGGTATGGTAGGTATTTTTTCTTCTTCCATCATTGCAGTCTGTAAGAATTTCCACTTTGCCTATAAGAATTCAAAGATGCCACATCGGCATCGGTAGTTTTGTTTCGTTTGCTAAAAGTGATCGAGGCTCGATTTTAAAAAAATTTCCTCTCCTATGTTATGTGAACAGAAAGATTACGTGATCAATCTGAAGTTACCATGGTAATCACATGACTGATTTATAATTTCCGGTGGATATTTGCACAGCAAATCGACGGTGTGGTGTATGCATTTCGGCCAGAAAAGGGTTCATTTTGTTCTTCATTACATGTTGATCTAACACCTGACGAGATACAGCGAAAAATGCCAGGCAACAAATTGTGCAATGTATTGTTTGTCTCCGCATTATTTAAATTTACAACGGGAAAACATCGTTTTGAATGTGCTAGCTACATTTCTGTTTCTGAGTCTACTTAGCTGTCAAGGGAGCAGCGAAACAAAATCCCCTGGATTGGTAGACCCCGAGTGCAGGCAGATTGAGGACCTCTGCTTTACACTGCCTGTCTTTGTATTTCAGGCTCTCCACTAATCCCTATGCCCAACCCCTTCACCTTCTTGAGTAGTATGCGAGGCAAACCCCGGCGCGGGATGTTGAGGAGGGCTGTGTTCTCGGATGCTCAAAGAAAAGGGCTGGAGAAGATGTTCCAGAGGCAGAAGTATATTAGCAAGCCCGACAGAAAGAAGTTGGCCACGAAACTTGGACTGAAAGATTCACAGGTAAAACATACATTCTAGCTTGCTTGTATTCTCTCTCTCTCTCTCTCTCTCTCTCTCTCTCTCTCTCTCTCTCTCTCTCTCTCTCTCTCTCTCTCTCTCTCTCTCTCTCTCTCCATTTAACTGCCTCTTGTTCTATCTTGCTTACAATAAGTACAGAAAGTCTTCCGGAATTTACAAGCGACCCGTGCTGTATTGATCTCATATATATCTATTTTACTGTATGTGTGTCTATGTCTGTCGGTCCACTCGTCTGTCTGTCTATTTACCAGTTTATGTGTATGTCTATCATTCTATCTATACCCCATACAAACATGCACCAGTTGCCCAAAGACAACTGTGCATCTAGGTCTCTAGCCAGCAATTTATTTCTCTTTTTCTTCTTCTTCTTCTTCTTCTTCTTCTTCTTCTTCTTCTTCTTCTTCTTCTTCTTCTTCTTCTTCTTCTTCTTCTTCTTCTTCTTCTTCTTCTTCTTCTTCTTCTTCTTCTTCTTCTTCTTCTTCTTCTTCTTCTTCTTCTTCTTTTATCGTCTCGCTGATAACCAGGTTGTAGCCAGGGTCGCGGTTTTCTGTATTTGTCTTGAACTTTTCGGGTGGCTTGGGATTTGTTTATCTTTTTGCAGGTTTCTGCTACATTATTTGTGCATCTCTTTCTTGGTCTTCCTGTCGCCGTTATCCCAGATGTGCTACTGTAAAAAGTATATTATGCAGTTTGGTCTGGCTGCATTCTCTTGCTAATCACACTCTCCATCGCCATGGGCTGTGTGTGACTCCAATGCCTCCTCAAAGCACAACACTATCGTCTGGCAAGAGGAAAAGGTGCCAGACATCAACCGGTTCTTGTCCAACTTTCTCTCTGATGCTTGCATTCGTAACCCTGCCTCTTCTTGTGTTGTTAGTGACCATGCTAGCGCATTTCACACAAATAAAAGACAGACTGCTCCCCTTTAACAGGCGTGTCGTAGGTGGCGACTAATTTGGGGATGTTTTCTTCAGAGTCCGAGTGCGGTGCCTGAGAGACGAGGAACCAACAAAAACATAGAAATAAGCCGCATCTGTAACACGGATGGTACGCGCAAAACTCAAGTTCTAAATCAGGACCAAAGTCCAGGAGTGGACGAACAACCAGAACTTTCCGATCGAGTTTAAAGACGGTGAACGAGAAGAAGACGTATTAGCTAAGGCTTACAAATCCTTACATCTCTGTGGTAGAATTTACCATGACAGGGCCTGTCCTTTACACAGTCTTAAGCATAATAACAAATGTAACCGAAAACCTCACCATGGGTAATTCGATCAGTATTACACCGAACGATTTAACTTTCCCAGGTAGCTAGAATTACCCGGATACCCAATCTGGAAGAATCTTACTAAAACGTGTTAGGGCTACACCCACCACCTCTCCCTTATCAGCTTGGACTCTTTGGTAAAGCCTATGAAGATTTCTTGGGAAAACATACCTCCTTCATAGTCTTCTTCTTTTTTCTTCACTGGCTGTACGCCCCGGGGAAAATTCCTGGCTGTTGGACCATTTGGACTTTGTGCCAGGGCCTGAGTTTTACGTATGCATCCGTTTTACTTGCTTATTTGTGTACTGTTGGTTGTTCCTTGCCACTCGGACAGACGAATTCCGACTTCGCATGAAGTACCCAGCTAGTCGACTCCTACGACATCCTTGATGGGAACGCAGTGGGTGTCTTTTCTTGTTCTCCTCCACAATGAGGCCTGGAACACACTCAAAGACTTCGAGGTATTTCATACAATGGAACGTTAAAATATCAGTCTTATAAATTTCTGTCCGCGACTTTTCGAATCTGTCGCTGGCACTTTAAAGCCTGTACAGTGTCGAAGTGTCGTTACGCCAGCGATGTTCTGCAGTGGACCTGTTTTCATGATGTCCTTACCCGCACAGGACTAGATGTTTCAACTAGCTTATGTAGCTGTTACCGACGCCTTTATTATAATTTCCTAGGAAGTTGAAAGGAGTCTCTGAAATCTCTTTTTAATCTGGCGTCCAGATTAAGATTGTTGAAATCTCAGGATGGTTTGTGAAACGTTAGGCAGCAGTCCGGATGGGACAAATTTATTGATCGATTGTTTACATGAAGACAACGACGACAATGATGATGATTACGATGACGACGACGAAATTAAACTAGTTCAAACTTTGGCATCTGGCAAAATGTGATGATTAATTAAAGCAGTGATTAATCGATAATTATGTAGCCATTAGCCTTGAGTGGGTGCCAGGTGCAGTCCTGGGAAGTAATGGCGGTCGGCCTGGGGCTGACCACATCATCCACAAAATGCCGATTGGTCTATAAAATATAGGTCTAGCCCTATATGCCTAATGCGCCTAAATGCGTGGAAAAGGGTCCTTCACTTTTTTACTGTTTATGTACCAACTGATTAAAAAATGTACTTATTGTTTTCTTATAGGTAAAAATCTGGTTCCAGAATCGACGCATGAAATGGCGCAATTCCAAGGAACGAGAACTTCTATCCACTGGTGGGACAAGAGAGTCCACCTTGCCAAACAAAAGCAACCCTAACCCAGATCTCAGCGACGTTCGCGATGCAGACGACACGAAGTCTCAGTCGGGGGAGAACAGCTTTTTTGACAACGAACAATCCGTGTCCCCAATGGGAAGTCCGCTCTCCAGCAAGTCCTCCAGTCCTGTACACACGCATCAGTCCCTGCAACGCCCAGCCGTGCACGCACAGGATGATGATAGTGATATTGACTCTGACGAGGAGATCACAGTGTCGTGACGAACTACAGCAGATTCGATGATGTCATAAGAGGGATTTTGTTGTACAGTTGATGTAAATACTGTTTAATTTGTTGATATTTTGTATATGTTCACTGTTGTTTATTTTTCCCCACACACACATACACACATACACACACACACACACACACACACACACACACACACACACACACACACACACACACACACACAAACTAACTTACAACATAAAAAAATAAAATTTGTAGTTGCGCAGCTCAACAAAATCGTTTTGTTTTATATGTTTGTTATTGCAATTACTATGTTTCTAGACATTTTGAATATGAAAGTACACGAGGCGGCAGCGTTGCCGAGAGACTCGAATTTCTTTTAGGCAGACCGCGATGAAAGCGACGTTCTGCAAAGGACCTGCTACATGATGATGCTTTGAATAATGATGATGGTGATGATGATGAGGCTAGTACTGTCCTCCAATGTGCTGCTCTGTCTAAAGCCGTTCTGCACTAGCGGGGGTGTCAAGTCTGCTATAGGCGGCCCAACAATCGACATTAACAGAGAAAAAAATAGCACCAATTACAGCTATACTGTGTTTCTATCACACAAAATCCACCTGACAAAACAACAAAATAATCATGACAAAAGCACACAGACAAATGATAGACTGGGAGAATGAGATAGGGAAAAAATGAAAAGAAAGGACCAATTCGCTCGAGATTTTTGGTGGACTATACCCAAATGGAGCATGTGGGGCAGAAGAAGAACAGTTGTAAAAGATGAACTTGGTCCATACCGGACGATGTGTTTTGTTCAATAGCGACTTGTAGACAGCCGGTGAACGGGAGGACGAAGAAGGAGATGCGCGCATTTTCTTCTGAACTTCTGCATTCACTTAGGGATGTATCGCATCTAACTTTGACAGAAATTGTCCGATGTCGGGACAATTATAGACTCTGCTCAGTTGTAGAATTGTTCACTTATCCTGGAGAATACTCCAACCCAAGCTCAGAGTTTGCCACACAGACGTGATTTACCTGACCTTCGCTATTTTCAGGTATAAATCCCGCTGATCACTTAGGCTGATGTTGTCAAGTTTTGGTCAGTTATGCTGATGTTGCAAGTTTTGGTCAGTTATGCTGATGTTGTCAAGTTTTGGTCAGTTATGCTGATGTTGTCAAGTTTTGGTCAGTTATGACTGAGCTACTGTATAACAGTAGCCGGTACTGCCTGTCTTCTGTTAACGCCAAATGTCTTTGATCAGCTACCGCCCGCCTCAATCTGGACAGCCCCCAGTCAATAAGGTGTTGATCTGCACCCCAGCCTGTGTGCCTCAAGTGGTGCTTGGAGCTAGGATAGAATCCGAATCGCAAGTTGTAAAAACCGATGCACCAGGCAGGAGAAATAAACACAAATTCAAGCTTCGGCTTGCCGCATGGAACGTCACGACCATGTGTCCTGGGTTCTCTACTGACCTAGAAAGCATTAGTGATGTTAGAAAAACTGCTATCAATGATGCCGAACTCAATCAATCTGAAACGTCCTTTGAATAACGGTCCCAAATGATCTACGCAGAAAGTAAACCCAAACAGAGCCTCACTTATATCTAAAATTCGCATTTCTTTTGCGGCGAATCAACCGTGTCAAAAGAAGGATTACTTGCGCACGACATTTTCGCGAAACTCAACGGATTTTTTTACGGCGATTAAACGGCGGCAAAACTAGGATTAACTGCGGACGAAAAAAAAATAAGCAACACGCGAGAATACTTCCGATAGCGCTATCCCACGGCAGGGCCCGAGTTATATGTAAGTTGCGGACCGTTTTTCGCCGACTATAGTGCCACCTCCGAGAGTATCCCCCGCGCCGCTACGCGAGGCGCAGAAGGTTCTAAACTAAGTGGCTAGGACTCACGAGCAGCAGCTACCGCAGCTCCTGCAGCTTTCTCCAATGTATTTGCTCGTGAGGTGGCACTATAGTCGCCGGAAAAACAGTCTACAATTTACAGGAGCTACTTCTTCTGTTATAAATACAATCTTTATACCGACATTAGGTTATCAATGTCAGACTTGGACATTAACAAAAGAACACGAGAGAAGACTAACCACCTGTGAAATGAGATGTTTGAGAATGGCTGCGAATAAAACCAGAAGAGATCGAGTGAGAAACGATGTGATTACAAGAACTATTGGAACCATACCCATCGTTAAATTTATTGAGAAGCAAAGAATGAAATGGTTTGGTCACCTAATGAGAATGGAACCAACGATGCCAGCATCAAGAGCATACAACATGAAAATCGAAACAACAAGAGGCAGGGGAAGACCAAGAAGAATATGGATTGAAGGAGTCACGGACAACTTGAGACTTCATAACATCACGGCATATGAAGCGACTGAGCGCGCCCTGGCTCGGTTGCCGATCATCTGATAGACTGCGACGCCTAGCGGCACAAGCAGATTTTGACAAAAGAGAAGACTTCTTCTGTCGGAAGTACCAGCGTGCTCGCATTCGCCACGGTCAAGTGTTGGTCGGGATAGTGGAGTGCCATCATGGCGGCTGCTGGTTTGAAATTGCCCCGATGCGACATGCGCGTACATTAAACCGCGCATTTAGATCATGTCTCGCCCGTAACGAGATTCGCGGACAAGCCGTGCTGAGTTACAATGGCGGAAATCGAGAGAGATCAGATATTCGCGCACTATTTGCAACCTCTGTGCTACAATTTTCACACATAAAATATTTAATTTTCGGTAAGTAGTAGACCTGGCCCTTTTCCTTACACTTTTCATTCCTAATTTTTTCCGAGCTACACCTTTTAAATGTTTCTAGGGCAGGACGTAATGAGGCTCTTTTTGGGTTCACTTTCTGCGTAGATCATTTGGGACCGTTATTCAAAGGAGAGCCCTGCAAGCCTTTAAAGACTCAGGCATCATAACTATGTACAAGAACAAGGATGATGGGTGTGACTGCAGTATCTAGAGAGGAATATCACTGCATTGTATTTGTATAAAAAGTACTTGCGATAGTTGTTCTGCGAAGACTTCGGATCCTAGGAGACCAGGTTTACCCAGAGTCACGGTGTGGCTTTTGTGGAAACCGGTCTACCACTGACATGATATTTTCAACACGACAGTTGCAGGAAAAATGCCGTTAACAATATCAACCACTGCATATTGCTTTTATTGATCATACCAAGGTATTTGATTTGGTTAATCGAAAAGATCGGTTCAACACGCTGAAGAAGATTGGGTGTCCATCTACCCTACTGAGCTTCATTAAGTCGATCCACACAGGTATGAAAGGTACAGTCAACTTTACTGTATAACATCAGAGGAGTTTGTAATCAACAAAGGTGAGAAGCAGGAATGTGTACTTGCTCCCACTCTCTTTGGAATATACTTCTCACTTCTTTTGTAAGATGTCTTTCGAAATCAGGAGGGTGGTAAATTCATCCGTTCTCGATCGGCCGGCAGCCTTGTTGTAACTGCCAGCCGTTGAAGTAGAATATCACATAACAAACTGAATTATTTTCTGCCTGGTTGATTCTCATTGTTGTTGTCTTTTCCCCATGGATTTTAGACCTAATGATATTTAATGATACTTCATAAATCGTGTTTATCTTGAATCTGATTTCGTAAATACTACTAACTGCATTAAACATTTCAATAGAAATATATATTCTTCAACAAATTTATGAGGTCCATGATCTAATTTACAAACACAAAACGAAACCTCATCCCATATTTTTGAGATTCTTCTTCTGCCTGATAGCCCTCAATGGAGCATAGGCCCCCAACCAACTCACGGAAAGTGATCCTTCACTGTCGCATGCAGCTCTCCTCCCGTCCTCCTCATCTTTTTAACTTCCCTCTTTAGCTCCCTTCTGCGTGTGTGTGTGTGTGTGTGTGTGTGTGTGTGTGTGTGTGTGTTTTTTTCCCCCTCCTTTATTTCTATGTCCCTGTGAATTAAAGTGCAAAGACATTCTAGTTATATTGTTCTAAGGTTTTCTCAAAGTGTGTCCTATACAACGCCAGCTTCTTCACCAGTTAATGATTGTTTGTAGTTTATTAGTAATTGCCTTTGTTGTTCTCCATGTTTCCTCCCTCCACAAATGTCCAAGTGCAATGAAAGCTGTTCTTGCTTTTTGTATTCGTATTTTAATATATCTATCAGTTCCCCCAACTGTATCTACATTATTCCCCAGATAGGTGTACGACTCCAAGTTACTGTAGATTTACTTGTATTCTTTGAAAATAGATGGGTTCGCAAGTTTTAGCTAAATGGGAATAACTTCAACAGACGAACAAGCTCACTGTTTAAATAATCACTTTAGAACTGACACGTATTAACTATAACAACAAATCCGACTGTTTAAATAAACACTTTATAACCGACACGTATTAACTATAACAACAAATCCGACTGTTTAAATAAACACTTTACTACTGACACGTATTAACTGTAACAACAAATCCGACTGTTTAAATAAACACTTTATAACTGACACGTATTAACTATAACAACAAATCCGACTGTTTAAATAAACACTTTACTACTGACACGTATTAACTATAACAACAAATCCGACTGTTTAAATAATCTCTTTATAACTGACGTATAATAACTATAACAAAAAATCCGACTGTTTAAATAATCTCTTTATAACTGACGTATAATAACTATAACAACAAATCCGACTGTTTAAATAAACACTTTACTACTGACACGTATTAACTATAACAACAAATCCGACTGTTTAAATAATCACTTTATAACCGACACGTATTAACTATAACAACAAATCCGACTGTTTAAATAATCTCTTTATAACTGACACGTATTAACCAAAACAACAAATCCGACTGTTTAAATAATCTCTTTATAACTGACGCGTATTAACTATAACAACAAATCCGACTGTTTAAATAATCTCTTTATAACTGACACGTAATAACTATAACAACAAATCCGACTGTTTAAATAATCACTTTAGAACTGACGTATAATAACTATAACAACAAA